GAGGGCCATTTTTCGTGAAAAGGACTTTTTTTTTATAGTGACTTATACAAGCCGGTTCACCAAACGACCGGCCGACGGTTCCTGGCGCGGGTGTAGCGCGCCGGCGTCGTCCGTCGTCGATTGGCGGTTTGTTTGAGAAGCCACAGCGCGGATTCCGCGTAAAGGCTGTTTGAATTCAAACTGCCATTACGCGGGACCGCGTCATATTTATAGAAAAAAAAACTAAAAAAATTGAAAACTGAAAATGTCCGGAAACAATTCAAAAAGGGTCAAATTTTTTTCAAAATTGTATGGTGTATAGGAAATGCTAATAAAAACATTCAGTGAAGTTTTCATGTATTAACAGTTATTCGTTTTTGAAGTACAACAAAATAAGGAAATCACTACATGAGAAATCGAGTGAATATCCAATGTTGTAAAAATTTGAATTTCAAACGATCATAACATTTTAATTTGACTTTCTTATAGACATTTTTTTATGATAAAGGTAGATTATCTTATAAGGAATCTTGTATTACATTTTAAAATCTTAGATTTAAAAAGAAAAATGTTTACGAATTAATAATTCAAAATAATTTGCTAATTTTTGTGATTTTTCCATATTTTGTCAATTTTTGAACTTTAAATGTATAAAAATAAACTGTGACCAAGGATTTTTAATATTTTCCATCTGCTTTTGAATCAATATAGTAGGAGCCTTGTTTTACATTTTCAAGCTTTTTTAACGAACAAAAAAAATTTTATTGATATACAGTAAAACCTCGTCAAGACGCTCTCGAAGGGGAAATCGTAAAACCGCGCAATATGCGGGATAGCGTTATAGGCGATATCCCGCCTATTACGCTCTTAAAGCGCTATAGGCGATACCCGCATATTAAAAGCGTTTTAAATGTGATAATATGTATGTACATAGATAGAATAAATTAGAAAAATGTTCGTAGTGTGACTTGTTATGTATTACACAGTAACATAAGTTGTATTTAAAATTAATAATAAAAAAACATCAAATATACATACAATAAAATTATTAGGAACATATTTTATAATTATGTATTATTTTCTTGGAAAAATCCGCGTGTTAAGCGGGATGGCGTATTAAACGGGAGCGTCTTAACGAGGTTTTACTGTATTAGAAAAAAAAATTAAATAAAATGGAAAATGAAAATGTTCCTAAGCAGTTCCAAACAAATCAAAATATTTTGAAAATTTTATCATGTATAGAAAATGGAAATATAAACAACCAAAGAAAATTTCATGTATCTACAGTAATTTGTTTTAAAGTTATACCAAAAATTAAAGTCGATTTTATGAAAAATCGATTTTGCGTAAAATTTCCCTTTTTCCTTATTTTCTTTTGTTTTTCAAGACGCTTTTGAAAATTACTATGAATTTTAAATTTTGACCTCTCCAATGCACCCAACAATATTCACTTTTAATTAATAAATTGTAGTATCCACTAAAATAATAATGTTGCTTTTAGATTCCGTATTTAATAAATAATAACCATATAGTCAAGTTAAATGAAAACAGTAATTACTACTATCAGATTTAAGGCCAAATGAATATCACAAAACGGAATTTATGCTATTTTTTTATATTTACTCCAAAGTGGAACAAACTCGAAGTTATTAATGGACGACTACGAATTGGTTCCCAATTGTCGAAATGGTTCCCGGGTTGTCTACAGGTAACATACGAGTTGGTTCCCGGGTTGTCTACAGGTAATATACGAATTGGTTCCCGCAAGCTTTCATAATAATACAACCTTGTTAAATTAAATTTTCAAATTATTATGATATATTCAACCAGCAACAATTTCCTTCCCATTTATTCAGACTGAGGACTGTCTAGAATTCAAATAAGTTTGAATAGTTCAAACACTATGAAGAATACCTAGGTATGGTTAAAAATGTTGCTTAGTAGTTAATATATACATAATATATATACGCTACATATACGTATTTGTCAATAATAATAATTATGCTTGTAATAAATAAGTAATAATAATGTAATAATAAGTCATAATAGGTAAATAATATTAGAAAAAAATTAGTGTGATATGAATTGACACACATTTTTAACGAACTGTAGGTTCAAAATTTGGCCCTCTTTCAATTTTCTAATATTTTCATCAATACACTTTTCCTTTTCAGCAATTTTTTTGACTTTAATTTAAGTGAGCTTGTTTGCTTTATATATGTTTCGCATTGCAGTATTGCACCGCTTTTAATTGTTTAATCAATAAAAAAATATTTGGGTGGGCGGATTAAAATTCCGCCGAATTCGGGAGAATTCAGTTTTTCGTGAAACGATTCGCAACAGTTTGTTGTTCGTTCTGAAGTGGCTGAAAAATCTGCCCAAATTTTTAGTAAAAAATCACTTTTATTTTCGATATAATTTTCAAGTACACAATCAAAAAATGTATCAAGTTTTTCATGTACTGGTTTTATAGCCATCAACTCAACAAAAACGTTTTTTATTATAACATTTGGCAATAAAGGTAATCGGAAAAAGTATTTCAATTATTATTAAATATTTGCCCAATCTCTGAATCTTTATTTTTAAATTCATCTGAGAGTCCTAGAGATTGGATTTTTCTCCACCACGTCTGTCCTAAGTTGAATCTACATCCTCTTAATTTAGACTCTGGCCAAATTTCAGATACTGCCAGGTGTATTGTGTACCTATAGCTTTTTAAAAATCAGCAAAAATAATTTCAGGCCTCATATGATGTTCTATAAATTGTATATAAGTATATATAATTGTATACAAGTAGGTAATGTATAATTGTATATAAGTAGTACTGTTCTTATTGGGCAGTAGGAAAAAAACTAAGGGAAAATAATTGTTAACTTTTACACCATGAATGGTAAAAAGCTGGTAAAATAACTTTGAGCAACTTTTAAAAGTTCCATCTACAAACACTGTTTTCATTTTGCTGAGTATCTCTAAATTATTTGAACAAGTAAAAATTACAATATTTGTTTCACAATCATTAATAAATTTAAAATTTTCTCCACGATTTGTTATAACATCGTAATTATCTAATGCTTCATGTAGTTCTGTTAATGTCTTAGGTAATTTAGGTAACTTACTTGTTGCGTGAATATTTTGTCTTACTCTAAAAACGTCATGCGCAGTAAGCTGTTCAATATCACCATTGACTAGTAACTCTTGGCAAATTAATTTTGTTGGACGTTCAAGATTTTCCTGAGCTTTTCTTTTTAATTTATTACTTAATGCTTGCCTGTCCAATATGTTTTCACTATCTTTTTAGACATTTTTTTTACACATTTTTTAATGTTAATTGAATCGTTAAAAATATTTTTTTTTTATATCAATCGACAGAGAGTTAAATATGACAGGACCCAGATAATTTATAAATTTTTGACCAAAACTTGTATTTGTGAATAACACTTTAATATTATATAATCTATCATCCCCTATTGGCTTGTTATTCTGTTTGATAAAGAAAAAGCTAGATTTTTTATAAACAAACATTATAGCAGTTTTTTTGTACAGTAATTCGATCGGAAGCACATTAAACTCTCTATAGTTTGAAAAGGAAGACCAAATGAGATTTTCCTTTCTCAAACATATACGAACTATACTGTTTTGTTGTACCCTTAATGGATGTAGAACATTTTTAGATGCACCACCCCAAATTACCATACCATATTGTAATATAGATTGGTATAAAGAAAGATAAACTATCCTCATAGTATGCGAAGAAATTAAATATTTTAATTTATGAAATTTAAATATTTCAATTTATGAAATTTAAAAATTAAATATCGCAATTTTACTAACAAACTATTTATATGAAAGTTCCATTTGAGGTTACAGTCGAATATTAGTTATCTACTTTCAGTTTTGTGGTTTGAACTTGAACAATATAGTAACATAATATACGTAGGTATTTATATTATGGGGTGTCCCCAATGGGTGACTTCCCCCCTCCCACTAATTATCCCCATCCCTTTTACTTATTGCAATATATATTGTAATTACAGAATACAGATTGCAGTTCGTGTTAAGACGTCGTACAATCCTCACGTTAATTGTCTCGAGCGCCGCCTTTATTAGCTCTCGTTAGCGTGTTGTATTTGTACTTCTTCGCGTTCAGCGCTCGTCGCGGTACCTGTACTGCTGGTAATGTATAAATTATCTAAACATTCCCCAAGGCCAACCCATAATATATTTTATCTACATCATTATGAGTAACTCTCGTCGTCCATCTACTCCTGTCATCAAAAAACCTCAATTAATAATTAATAACAATAAGACTGCAAAGAAATCTATTCCGCCGTTGATTATCAGTAACCAGCTATTAAATGACCAAACAGGTTGTAATTCCCCCTCTGACCTCTCTGACAACGAATCTGGCTTGCAAACAGTCCTATCATTATCTAAACACGTCACATCACCATATAACGCATCTCCTGTTGCAAAAAAAGCACTTTTTTTTTTGTAAATCGCGACAACACAAGGGGGCACTCCATCCGGAGGTAGTCCTTCCCCCTGCATCCGCGTCGTTTATTAATAAACATTATACACATAAATTACTTAAACTAAGGCCTGGGCCTTTACATGTTTGGAGGGCTCTATACCTCCTATGTTTCACCTGTGGTGCACATAATATTGACCTTAACTATATTTTTAAAATGTTACTGCAGCTCTGGCTTTTTGGACCTGCCTCTCCTCTTCTTCCTTTGTCGAGAGCACCATTCCCGCATACGCCTTGACCGTATTCCAGTACTGCACCTTCTCGAGCATTGTCGCCACTACTGTATCTGGTTCCATCTTTAGTTGTTATTTCTCAAGTAAATATGCCTACATCTCACAAAACAACTCCAAAACCAACATGGTCACCCCTGCCACTTCAAAACCTTATACTCGTAGTAATACGTCGTCTGCTCCACAACTGCCCTCATCTCCTTCTAACAGTGATTTGATGGCAGCTATTTTAAATATTTAAATCTTCCAATCAACACAGTTCGATGAACTCCGTGGCTGCCTCACCAAACTTACGCATGATGTTTCTCACCTCTAGAAAGAAAACGATTCGCTTCGCTCTGAACTCTCCTCTCTCAGAACTAAATTCGACAACTTCGATGTCGGCTCAGCCACAATCGGTCTCGCTGCTCAGCTGCTCCGCGAAACTTCTGAAAGCAATAAATGCGCCTTCAGTGCAATTCGTTACGGCATTGCGGAATCGCGCTCTACTACAGCTGAGAATAACTGACGACAACGCCCGAGGTGTCTAGAGTTCTGGGATCAATTTCCCTACCAGTTTTTAATAACTTTAAGCTATTTCGCTTGGGTGGTCCCAGCTCACAGGAAACCAAGACCCTTGAAAATTATTTTTCCTACCAAAGACGAAGCCGCCGGTATTCTCCGTAGTTACCACTCTGCGCTAAATAATGGCCTAAGGTTACTTGACAACCTTCGCATAGTCTGAGACAAGACAACTCTCGAACGACAACTACTCCGCTCTTCCCACGCCTTTGTATTTCTTACATAAATGGTGTTCCCTCCTTTGTCAAATCCAAGCAAAAAAACTAATTAATTGCCGCCCTGCTTTATCTCACCAGTTAGCAGCTTACTTATTACCTTCATGCTCAAGACTCCATTCTTCATTTCCTAATAATTGTTTTAATTGTCGCAATGGTTTTATTTCTTATGATAACATTGTTAATGAATTTAAGTCTTTTAAAAAAAAAAAAAAAATGTCTACCTTACCTTTATTATGTAACACTAACACTATTCATATGTCTAATTTAAATATGGAACTACCGTCTACCAGAATGTTCGTGGTCTTATGACTAAGTTGGTTAATCATAGGAGCTCGTTTCCCTTATTATCTCTTACAATATTCTTGTCCTTACAGAAACATGGCTAATCCCCGACATTTCTGATTCCGAGCTTGGCCTAGTAGGCTATCAAATTTTAGATTCTGAGTGGAACGATGAATGTATTGATTTTACAATGATCTGTGTTTTTTATTTTTTATTTTTGTGTCTGTGTACACGATAAGTAGTCGAAATAATGCTTCGATTTTCAACTTCAGTATCTTGTTCGATTGAAAAGTGAATATCGTTGGTGCATTGGTAGGTCAAAATTTAAAATTCACAGCAATGTTCAAAAGCGACAAGAAAAACAAAAGAAAAATTAAGGAAAAACTGGAATTTTTAAGCAAAATCGATTTTTCACAAAATTGAATTTGGTTTTTGATTAACTTTAAAGCAAATGACCGTAGTTACATGCAACTTTTACTGGTTGTTTATATTTGCATTTTCTATACATGATAACATTTCGACAATCACGAAAATTAGCAAATTAATTTGAGTTAAGAATTCGTAAAAATTTTTCTTTTTAAATCTAAGATTTTAAAATGTAATACAAGATTCCTTATAAGATTATCTACCTTTATCAAAAAAAAAAAATAAATAAATTGCTGTCATGGGGCACCGGTAGAAACGAAGTTTCATTTCCAACAAATATTATAGATTCCAAATACATTTTAGTGGAACCATTCAAAATAAAAGTAAATGTGAAAAATAAATGAAAATGAAAATTATTATTATTACTATTTAATTACTATTATATTAATCATATTCAATAATTGAAATTACAGGCCTGTGATAACTGAAATATGATACGTATGTTAATGATGTAATTTTTTCCAAATATCTTGAAAATACTACATCGATAGTGGTGTCATCTCTCGTTGTAGTCTTGTAGATTTTACTGGATTGTTTATCATATAAATTTAATGTGGCAATAAGGAAAGTTTTAAAAGTTTCCGATTTCTTATCATTAAAATTGATGTTAGTCACCAAATTGTTATAATTTATTAATTAGGTATAATAATTATAAATGCATAATATGCAGTTATGCAGATCTTATTATGCTGTTTCAAATCCTATCGCGTTATATCCATTTTCTATTAAATAGTGTATGTTATTATTTATGGTGTGAGCCTTAATAATTTACTACTGAATAATTTATACATATTATTTATTTAATTTAATAAAATACAACAACTAGATTGTATGTATCTCACATGTATAATGATTAATGAAGAGCATACTACTACAATCAAATCAATAGAAACAATTATTTGTTATCGAGCGTGTATCTCACTGATAATACAGATAGTGATAATACTTTTTATCACTAACTATTATCAAAGTCCATACCAAACGCGACACACTAAGAAATGTAATCACGGCAAAGGTAAAACACTACATAGAGATATTATGCATATAGATATATTATGCAGCAACAATTTCATGAAATAAAAATGTTTACGCGTTATGCAAGGAGATTATAATATGTATAAATGATGTAACCAAACAGGCACGTATACAGGGGGGGTTCACCCCCCCCCGCGAAATAATTTCTTTAAAAATTAAGTCAAATTTATTATATTCCTATTATTATAAAATATTTTTATAATTAGCTGTTGACTGGTTTTCTCTGTTTATTAGTCGGGTAAGAAATACAAGTTTATACCAATATAGTATTATAGTTGAATGATCGAGGTGATTACTGAGAACTACGCACGAACACAGAACTGTATAGTTGCGATTTACCTAGAAAACTCATATTTTGTGGATAAGCTTATCTTATCTAATTTCCGTACTCGATCGGTCACCAAAAATTTCTATTGATTTGCTAAACTACAATAATAAAATCATTAAACGATGACGATCGTTTAGTTTTAGTCTGTGTTCGGTATTTGAACGGTTATAATATACGAGTAACGAGTGCGATAGTGTTATGGTTATTTTTGCGAGTTCTAACTTATGAAAACTGATTAAATAACCAAATTTATTAAATATCATACATTTTATTATTTTTTTTTACAATGAAAAGAAATAGTGATCAACTATCATTATTCAATTTTGGTGTAAAAAAAATTAAAAATAATGAAGAAACTGAAAGTGAATTGAGTAATATTGAAAATATTGCAACCGAAGTTGATGTACCAAACGCTTTGCAGACCCAATTTGATACAAATATAGACAATGAATCGTTAAAAAATTATTCTCTGGATATTGGATTTTTTTTATCAGCTTCTAATAATATAAATGATGCAAAAAAATACGAGTTATTAAAAAATCCGTGGACACCACCCAAAAATTACCAATTTCCCATCGAACAACAAAGGCGGCTGAAATTTCAATTCGATTGGTTAAACCGTTTTCCTTGGCTTGTTTACTCCGAAAAAGTGCAAGGTGCCCTGTGTAAATGCTGTGTACTATTTTCCAATAACAGTGTTAGGAAGGGGATCCATAAAAAATTAGGTGCTCTGATTAAAAACCTTTTATGAAATGGAAGGATGCCATTGAACGTTTTAATCGTCATTCAAACTCCGAGCATCATAAGCTTTCAATCATTAGCTCTGAAGAATTTATTAAAGTACCTAATGGGAAACAAAAAAAATAATATTGCTCAATACTTCACGGAAACAACAAGTCTTGGAAAATCGATCTATTCTTCGTCCAATAATTGAAACCTTAATTTTATGTGGAAAACAAAATATTGCTTTAAGAGGTAATAATGACGGTGGAAAAATATATGATGAAAGTATAGAAACAAATTACGGGAATTTTAGATCTTTATTAAGATTTAAATCATTGACTGATCCTATTTTAGACAAACATTTAAAAAACGCAACTTCTTTTGCATCTTACACGAGTCCAAATATTCAAAATGAAATCATTATTATTTGTGGCAATTTAATTTAATTTAATTTATTTGAATATATTTTGTGAACCCCAACCGAAATTTTATTCTGTGTACGTGCCTGTAACCAAATGTTTATGCTTTGTAAGGACCGTGGTATAGATTTCAGTGTCTGGTTGTGCATGGTATACGTGAACATCACTTTTGAGGATTTCCACTTTTTTTCCCCGGCATGGGGATTCTCATTCACACTTTACGGCCCCCTAGACAGGAAAAGGTCGCTTTCCAACGCTTCGAAAACCAAACTTTCGGTGCAGGCGTGACAAAAAATATAATACCTACGTACAATTCAATACTAATATATATTATATACTTATTACATATATATTTTATTAATTATAAACTTTTTCTTCTAAAGTACCAACTAGATTCACTTTCCTATCAGAAAAGCTACTGTTGAAGAATGTCCAAGCACTTTTAGTGTCCTAAAACGTGATGGCAGACACAAAAAAAAAAAAATATTTTAAATTAAAATAAAATACATTTGGTAACTAGTCTAGTCCAGCCAAAATTACATTAAAAGTTAACAGAGAACCTAATATACATCCATACAAGAGTTGTTGTAACACTTTTTAGAAAAAGTAATTGAGAACAAATACAAACATTTTCATGGGCATTTATATTTTTTTTTGATCACAACAAATGTATTTTGTGCTTAATGTTCACTACCGTAGACTAGTATTTATGAATAACTGACAAAAACTAAATTATTTTACATGACTAATGTCTGAAGTTAACGTTGAGGTATGGCCTAATAATGCCCGCTTAATTTAACGGTTCTGGGTGGGTGGGTGTTTGGTAAATGTTTACTAGTTTGCCACCCCATTTTAAATTGAGTTCGGCGCCACTGTCGAGGGGAGTTAAAACCCTTTTGTCCGAAAGACTAGTTCGACGGGGTGGGTTTTTTTTCTCGGTTTTATCGCCGGTCCGCAGCTTCCATATTATATAGCCGTCTCTCGTCCTCTCTCTCTTCCGTCTCATGTTTCGTGCTCGCAGCTACGTATGTTATATTCTACATCCGTGTATACATAACACCTATACCTTATTATGTACTTAGGCTTGAAAACCACAACCCTTGCGTTGATAACACTATACGGACTACGGAGACATGGTCTTGCAGCAGTTACTATATAGTTACCTATATACGGCTATACCTATATCGAGTAGTAGTTTGCGTCATTTAGAGATTTGAATTATATTCCGTTTCGATTCCGGTTGCTTACGAAATGCCAAATAATTTAACAAAAACTCATCACATGAACAGTTCAATTCGCCGCCGGTGAAAAAATTCTCGAGTTTCAACTTTCAAGACTGTTATCGTTATACAATTGTATATTGCCTTATTATGTTTTTTACTTTTTATCTTATTCGTTTATATTTTGTTATTTGTTTATTTCATAGGTATACGCAAGATATTTAGGAGGAGGAGGCACATATAAATTGTAGAATTTTAATTTTAATTAATAATACATACATACTATCATTTTTAAACAATAATGATTATAATAAATAA